CACACACACACACACACACACACACACACACACACACACACACACACACACACACACACACACACACACACACACACACACGGTGTTAGGGCCGGGTGTCTGTTTGAAACACGGCTAGGCGAGGGCACTTTTTTTGTTCTGTCCAATCCTGCCTCCAGCTGCAGCCACATGTGCACAAGTCAACATGGCAATACTTTCAGGAACTATGGAGTATTTCTGCTAGGGCTGCTTCCTAAATGGATGATTTTGAAGGGGACAACAAACTATCACAAGACCAGTCATGTCTCAAAATGACCTAATAGCAAAACTAAAAAAATAACGTAAATATATAGAATGAAGCGCGGCTCATTTCGGTTTGCAGCTTGAAAGCTCTCTGCTCCAGTCTGCTGAACCTCTATCTAACCAGACGCTAGTGCATCCTCCTGTCAGCAGCCAATTAGGAGGGACGCTCTGTGCACAAGGTTCGTATTACTGCAGTATGACCCGGACACACACTTTTTATTTCTCAGTAAAAACTGAGTCTACTTGGAAAATCTTAATTCAGGAGGAGCCTTTCTGCTCTACTGGAAAACAAAAAGTCTCTAATTGAATTACTAGAGTTGATTGAAGTGCAGAGAAAGTATGCAATCTCATATTTCTAGTTGGCTGTGTTATTAGGGCGGCCATCTTTTATTTGTAAGTTGAACTATTGTTCAAACGCACAAAATAAAAAGATCTAAAATGATCTCCCCAAATTTAAACATGGAGAAAAACATGTTTTCTTTGTTGTTATTGTGTGTGTATTAATTGTATTAAGTGTTATTTTGGAGTGGAGATATAATCAAACAACAGCAAAAAAAAACACAACATCTGAAATACTGCGTGTGTGATGCTCGGAAACCCCGTGTACGTGTACCAGCATGACAAACATTTGCATGTGTGTCCAGACTCGTCTCTGCTTGTGTCTACATCCCCATTAATGATTCTGAGGCAGCTCTGTGCTATGAGGGAACACAGCTGCAGAAAAAAAAATCAATAGCTGAAGAGACCCCTTCCTGTCCCCCCCCACACCCACACACACACATGGCAAAAACATTCTCCACACAAAATGCATCATTTATGACCTTCTGGAATCACCACGAGAGAGTGTGATCTGTCTAATACCGCGATGGGAAACGTGTAATTTTCTGTCTCCCCTTTTAGTACTGCATCATAATGTGTGCGTGTGTGCCCATATATAAGCATAACCTACTTTTCGATCTCGCTGTTTTTACAGGTGCGTGGGGCGCAGGAGGAGGAGCAGGAGGAGGATGATGAAGGGGTGCTGGGGTCCGTCTTGCTGCTGCTTTCGCCGTTGCTCGTTGAAGGCATCTCTGTAAACACACAAACGGGGGGGGGGGGGGGGGGGGGGGG